TTAGTATAATTAAACACTAATACTATGTTGCACAGCGCTTTTGTGTACCTCAGCAGTGATTTATTTTTGCAGCATGGTTGGAGGTGTCAACTTTTTTACACACCACATCGGTGTAAAGAACAGCACGAACCTGCATGGCGGGAACATGCTGACTCTCAGATCTTTACCACAGATCCCACAGCCGGGCATGTATTTTAAACAGCTTGCATTGTCTTCTGTTTAACCAGCGAATGTAAAAGTACACCTATTTAATTAACCGCGACACAGACTCTGAGCTAACTCAAGAATATCTGTTATCTGATTGGTTGATATTTTGGGGGGGGTTCCAAACTGTCTTTAAAACCAACATCAGAAACAACCTTTCTGTGAAAGGGTTCTAGACAGAGCAACATCTGATAGACATGGGGGGGTTTTGAGAACAAAAGACCCTGTTTTGTTTTCCTTTCCCTTGCAGGGAGACACGTGGTCTGCCTGCAGCGGAGACACACAGATCCTGAACGCTGCTCCTGCTCCTCACGGGACGTTTCTTTGGATGTTCAGCATAGACTGCTATACCATACATGTAAACATACGTTTGTGTTTTTCTGAAGTGTAGGAGCATCAACGATGCATATAATTTCTCTTTTGACACTATTACGTTTCCATCCAGACCCATTTAAACATTTCTACTCAACTTAAGTACTAAAACGTGTTGCGGTGGATAGTACACCAAAGTACGGATGTGGACTGATGAAATGCTGCAAAATGCAATGAATCAGACTCCAGCGGCCAGGTTTCCACAGCTAACACAATGTCCTTGCTCAACACAGATCAAACCGCAGCAGTCAGGATGTATCTATCAGTGAGGTCTCTGTTGCAGTTAATGCGGCTCAATGGAAAGTTGAGATGTAGTTACTCTAATCAATGCTTCTGAGAAGCCCTCAATCTGAAAAACACAAAATATCCTCGCCTCAAAGTGCATCATTTAGATGGTGGATAATAAGAGAACGTGTGTGCTGACCACTCTTTTGGTTTTCTTAGATTGGGAATGTATTTTCTTCCTCGGCTTCTGACGCCGATGTTCTCCTGTTAGCAGACAAAAGCACCTGCAAACACTCAGGCACACACACACACACACACACATGCAGAAACATCTGCATCCTAAGGGACTTTCCTGAGAACTGAGGTATTGGACATTTTATCAGTTTCCTGTATGTATTTGACGAAGCACAAATAAACGTGTGGACTCAGCGTAGTTTCCTCGTACATGGACTAATCTGAATAGTAGGCTGAATAAAGTTGTTCAAAACCAGCTGTCACGTTGCTCTCGCGGAACGGAAAGCAAATGTTTTGGACACATGAATGTATCTCCACTTTCACAAAAAAATGCAGATGGGTATCTTGTTAAAAACACACAAAAGCTTCACAAACCTTATTTTTGGATTCGGAGATTCTGCTCAGACAACAAGTCTGTCCGAGGATCACCCGTGATTTTTTTTCCCCTCCTCTGTTATTATTCCATTTCCTCCCTGTGAACGGAAAGACCGAAATAACCCCGCTGAAATCTATGGCTCTCCAGGGGCAAAGCTTTTGTGTTGGAGCACGTGGAAAACAAGAGCAGCGGTGGCTGAATTGGGACACCGCGATATCTAGAGTTTCAAGGCCTCATGGGGCTCGACCCGTGGACACGGACATGGCTCATTACATGAGCAGGCTGTACGGAGACCGAGCGAGAATTGTCTTGTGAGACACTCAGCATGTGTGATTCACGGGGAGAACTCGTAGGTTGGACTCTGAATGTTGGCTGTGTGCGCAGTGATGAAATATTTTGTAAGTACCAGCAACTGTGAGCTGAGGAAGGCGAGGTTTATGATCCAGGCTGAGGAAAACTAAGGTTACGTCTCATAAAACCTTTTCCTGCCGTGCATCTGTTATGATTCTTGCTTCCGCTCTGGTTTTCAGCCACGCTACCTGTGATGTTGATTGAGCGTTCACTTTGGCTCACAGTAAAATATCACAAGCCTGTGACGGCTTGATGTTTTATTACGTTGAAGAAAACCTTTTGATTCACTCAGCATCAAGGGCCGGTCAAAATTTGCACTTATCCTTTGAAACATCTCAACATCTACTGAATGGGTTTTAAAAATGTTTTCTATGAAAGTGGGAGGTTCCCAGAGAATGAATGCCATTGATTTGGGTGATCTACTTACATCTCCTGCAAAACTTTTCTTTCTTTTTTTCTGAAGTAATCATGTCTTCTTCTGGATGTTTTCAATCACTTTCTTTATTTCCTGGATCTGCATCTATAGCGATACCATCGAGTCCAACACTTTGATTTGTGACCAAACACATTCAAAATGAAATCAGTTTAGTTCTAAATAGACAATGTTAGCATGCCAACACTAAATGTGTTTAAAAATTGTGTTTAAAAATTGTTAACATTGTTGTAAAGGTCTTAGTTGACATTTTCTCATATGTATCAATCACTAAAAGCTTTTTCTGGTTGGGTGCAAGAAAATATCAATACGATTGAGTTTTGTTTGTCTTTTTTGATACTGTATGGATTCTGAAACACTGTATTGATTTGTAATTAAGTGTTTGTTAATGCAAAATATAGAAAATGCACCATTATGTCCGGATGTGTGTTGTATTGCGAGATTCTTTATTATTTTTTCTATGGAGACAAAGTTGCACGGATGGACACAAACACACGCAGAGAAGTCCCGAGGAACAGCTTTCAGATCCAAACTAATGAATGCTGAAGCTGGCACCATAATGTTTTTTTTTTTTCCTCTTTCCGTCTCTCGCTGTCCGTCCGTCTGTTTGTCTGCCTTCATCGCATTCACAGCATCCTGGTAAAGTTTACTCTGACATTGATATTGTCTGACAGTCTGCCTCTGGAGAGCAGGGTCAAAGAACGCCCCCCCCCCCCCCCATAAGAGAGGGCCAAGATGTTCAGCAAAACCTTTCCTGGAAGGTATGTCTTATTGTGTTGCATGTCAAATGACTCTCTGCAGTCGTGTCTGTGGTTGAGGAACACGTTAATTACACACCTCACTGGCACAAATAGTAGTGTACTGTCTACATGAAGCATCAAATTAGGATCTGAGGAGCATGCTGGGACATGTAGCTCTCTGACACCATTCCTAGAGATTTGTTTGTAACGTTTCCACCATCACGAGAAGGTCGCCACCCCTCTCTCGGCTCTGATTTGATCCCTACAGGCTGATCCAAGTGCTGCTTGTGGAATCACATCGGGACACACTAACTAACGGCTCTGGTGCCCTCGTGCATTTTAGACAAACAGGTTTTCTGGTGTGGTAGAAAACGGGTCTTTGTGGCACTGCAATGGTCTGGTACCGTGGACCCACAGCTGCAGAATGAGGGAACGCTGCTCTTCTGCTTCTGTGTCAAACCCGGCAGTGACCGCCATCTCTTCTTCATTTGAGGATACTTATTGTAGTCGGAACAATTCTCTCATCAAATTCTAATGAGATTCTTCTGGATGAAGGGTGCTAATGTGTTTTCAGGGCCTCACAGGGAAGCGAATATGACATGTACTCAGGAAACTTCATGCTGTTGAACTGCAGTAGGTAGAAAGTACATACAGTACTTCTGCTTTATTTGAATAAATAGATTTTCTTTTTACTTTTGTTTGGCAGTTAGATGCTATTATGACACATTCATATTTTTTATTTAAAGCTGATATGAAAGAAATGATGATTCAAGAACACTTTATAAAATATTTAGTATGTTAGTAAAGTAAATATGTATCTATATACGTGATTATCTATCAGCTATAAAAAGCAAGAATGACAGACAAATGGCCTTTGTACACACAAGGAAGATAAACTGTGTGATGTTGATCTTTAATTGACATGCACAATAACCATTTAACAAGCCGCAAGTGCAGCAAATGTTAAATATATTTGCAGGCCTGCTAGTGAGTACGTGTCTCTGCATCTAAATCTACCAGTGTTTTATCTTTCAGTGAATACGTCAGGACGGCCAATGGGATTGTGTTCAGCTGGTGAAACACTGTCCGTATATACGGGTAACAATCCCATATCGGCTTCCTCTGGTTTCCTCCCTGCCCATGTCTTATTCAGCCCCGTTCGTAGTGCCTGTCGCAGCAACCCTTCATGCTGTGGGCTTCGTGGGTGAAACTCGGCCAGAGAGAGACGCATCAATATCTGTGAGTTCCATACTGCTTCTGCCTGACTTGCTGGCAAGCACTGCGTGGCATGTGCTGTTGGGAGAGAAGTCAAATCCCTCGCCGACATCAGGTCCCCTGTGCTGGCATTTGAGGTGAATCTGTCTCTACGCCAATGTGGGTATTAGATGCACCGCCTCGTACGAGAGGAAAGCGAGCGAATGCTTTATCAGTGTCACTTCTATTGATAAACTAACGAAGTCAAACAAACACGTGTGACCAATAATGTATTATGTTTTTAGCAAGAGGGGGAAATGTGAATGAAATGTAGCCGTTGGCTCAGAGTGTACGATTCCGTATATAGATTCACAGCTCTTGTTTTTCCCCTAAGAGATTCTCTGTAGTGCCCAATTAAAGGAAGGCAGACGTAACAGGAGATAATAAACAGTCGGTGTGCTATTATAAGACCTGTGGTGCTTCAGTCGCCTTGTCATTAAAGGACCCACGTGATGTTCTAACAGCTTGTGCTGACGTCCCCCTGTGCGTACTGGCTTCCCCGAGGCCACTCGGAATGAATGGGCCTTCAGTAACTTAATTGAATAACTCCTAGAGCCTTCTTCCCTGAGAGCAATTTGGAGAAGGACACAGATGCAGCAGAGACTTCCAAATAAAAGATATCTAAAACACAAGACAATACCTGTACACTTTACAGCTTAGAAATGTGAAAAATGTCTCTCCTTCCCACCTACATATGGCTTATATTTGGCCCTGAAAATCCATGCCTCTCACGTTTAATCCCCAGTTAAATTAAAGAGCACCAGAGGAAACCATGGCCTACTTGTTGTCCAACACAAATCCAGAGACACACTTCAGCTACTTCATATAATTTTATTTTTTCATGGTAATTCAATGGGGTTCGCATAACAAACCACATTTCTTTAAAAATAACATTTTTAATTAAACATCTTACTTTACATCTTAATATATGGTGTTTTTTCTTTTGCACAGCAAAGATAGGACATTTATGTTTCAGACAACATATCAGACATTATGTACATGTAGTCAACATATTATGTAAATTAATTTCACAAGTGCAAAATAAAGTAAAAGAACAGGCTGTTGCAAAAGCGCCCAGACAGTTTACTTAAGGATGCCTGTTTAGACCCACTGCACCACTGAGGAAAAGAACAAAACGTGCTTTAAAACGGAATGTTTCGTGTGATCGCGGTGAGCAACTTTCAACAGGAAAATGAGACACAAAATATTCAGGTAAACAAGTCTGAGGACACAGTAAATCCTCTTAAATTAGGGAGCTGGAATTAGTGCAGTGTGTCCTGTGGCGCACTGGGATTTCTCATCTTTCCAACAGGCATGCACTTGTTTTTTGCGTTGAACATTCCTCAAATATAATTGAGAAACCTAATAACCTGTCGATGGCATTTTCTCGGCAACCTTCATTTCTTTTACCCGATCCTCTTATTATTTCTTCTCGGAGGCACCAGATAAAAAAATAAAATAGAATTGAAAAACAACTCCCCAACACACACGGTTGAAGACACAGTACGTGTTTTTCTTCTCACGCCAGTGGCTCAACAAAACAGAGCCACCGGCAAAATGTTTCAAAACGATTCAGGCAATTTCCTGCACCTTCACTTCCCCAAACCCGTTGGTCAGTGTCACGTGCTCCTGGCTGTTCTCTATGGACGACTCGCTCCCCGTGCTCTCCCCAGACAGAAGCCTGGTGACCCTGAGGTCAGCCTTCAGCGTCTGCACGTCGTTGCCTATGCTCATCTCCCCCAGGTCGTTGATGATCTGAGACCACTCCTGCTTGCCGTTGGCGACGCGCTCCCCGTCCGTGTCCAGAATGTCCTCGTATTCAAAGTGCATCGCCTTCTCCTCCTCCTCCTCCCCGACCAGGTCCTCCGTGATGGAGCCCAGCTTGGGCGCGCTCCGGCTGCGCTCCACCGGGGGCTTGTAGCAACACTGCCCGTTCAGCAGCTTCCTGATGGGCACCAGCGGGATGGTTTGCTCGCCGATGAGCCGCTGCTGCTGGTGCCGCGCGTCGTCCCTGCGCTTCAGCCTTTTGAACTCGGCCAGCGCCGTGGCCGAGGTCTGGTACAGCAGCAGCGCCATGGCCTTCGCCTTCTCCGGCTTGGACACCAGCACCGCGTGGCAGCGCAGCATCACGGCCTTGTGCTTCATCTCGTGCCTGTAGACCCAGGCGAAGATCTTGGGCAGCCTCGGGTCCGCGACGCAGTAGGTCACCCTGTGCAGCAGGTACAGGTGGCCCGGCCGCCTCGCCTTGTCGTCCACGTGCACCATCCGGATGCCCTGGGAGCTGACGGTCAGCCGCATCTTGGTGCCGTTCTTGCCCATCTCGCTTTTGCCCCAGATCTTGCTGACGGCCACGTCCGTGCAGCCGTCCCCCTTGGACTGGATGGTGGTGGCGTTGCCCAGGTAGAGCACGGTGTACGTGGGGTCCTCGCTGGTGATCTTCACCTTTTTCCTCTTGGACTTGAACATGCTGCCCACCCGGTTGAGCGCGCTCTCGGGGCAGGACTTGGCGAAGGAGGTGAGCGCCGAGTAGTTGAGGCTCACCGCATAGCCCTTCTGCTTGGACAGCGCGTCTTCCTCAATCAGATCGAACTTATTCTTCTTCCAAGACAGCATTTTATTGCTGTTTTGCGATCAACGGCAGCGACGTCTACCGAGGGGGAGAAAGAGAGAAACGCAACGTTGTGTTACTGCGATATCCGAGAGGCGTTTAACTCATTTATGAGCTACTCTGTGGGGAAGTGAACGCAAAGACAACACGTACTTGTTCCTCCTCTAACGCGTTATTTCCCATCGTAGTGCTTTCCGATCCGTCTCTCCTCAGTTGTGAACACACACGGCTCGGGTTGGATACATTACGCGGAATATATCTAGGGAGAAACCATTGGAGCGAGAATGCGAGGGGTGGGGGCGAAACCAAATCACGAGGCGAGGCAAATGTATTTTTTATTGCTCATTTCAACAACAACGCTCTATTGGCCATGTAAGTCGTGTTCTTCTATATGTATTTTTTTTTTATAAATACACAAGAACATTACTTAAACATATAAAAAAACAGTGAAATTGGGGTAAAGTGCAAATGGAGGTGCAGTGTAACGTGTTAATTGTTCATTAGGGAGAGATATTCATAGAGTCCATTAATTAACTATTTTAGTTCTTGATTTTTTCACGTTTTATTTTTTTTTGCTTTATGTTTTGACGCATTTAATGGTTTTATCTGAAGCACTTTTAATATCCTCGTTGTTGAAATGTGTCAAACAACTAACTAACTAAATGATTTGTAATTAAGTATGTTTTCTGCTGCTGGGGTGAAACCAATAGCAACTGCATCAACACAATTTCCCTGTCTCACTCGTAATACACCATGTGTGTATAGTAGTCTATATGATATAAAGTCACCTAATATTTGCTCTTCACTTTTGGTTATGTAGAGACGAACGTACAAGAGGAGAGTCATTCTGTTGCGCCGTTTTGTGCCGCCATCTCTTGGTTAGAGTAAGAAGTGTCTATGATAATCTCGTGTAACGACGGAAGATCGATTAGTTGTTTCTTTAGCATTACTAAAATATTATTTTTTAATTTTAATCTAAGTTAGTGTTGTATCTGTATTTACATATGTATTTATATGCATTTTATTGTAAAGGCGGTAGAGTTGGTTATTAATGGGGAACCAATTATATTTGCGTCCCATTTCCTTCAGGGCACGTTCGATAGCTGGACAAAAAAGTAGAGTATACCATAGCTACGACACTGTAAATGCTTAAAATAAAGCCGAAATTATCCTGTATATTTAGTAAGTAGCTATGCAGGAATTGTATAATAATTTATAACCATTAAGCAAAGACACCTCAATCAAAATCTCCAAAAACGTTGTCCGGATGTGAGGTTCATTGGTTTTCCGCCACTTCCGGTTCCTTCGACAACACGGTAGTGCACATGGGGCAAAGTAGCTAGTCACATATAGCACCCCTTAGATACACTATATACAAGTTTTGTTTCGTCTGTAGTATACTATATATACATATAAATATATTAGAACACAAAAAGTAGGTATGGGTAAGAAGAAAGACGGCGGAGGAGGCGGACTGGGTCGATCTTTGATCAAGGAGAGACTCCAGGCAGGCCGAGGAAACAAGCGGGGCGACACCTGGGTATGTAACGGCAACAACTTACCTAATAGTAAACGCAGTCAATTAATTTCCCTGTTCACGCTTCTGATAGACATTTCTTACCGCGATCAATTATAGTGTTTTTTTAATCAATGGAGGCGTTGTTTTTCCCCCCTTTTTTGCATTTTCAGCGCCACACATGTGAGCTCAATGATGGCTATGACTGGGGACGACTCAACCTGCAGTCAGTGACAGAGCAGAGTTCCATGGATGACTTTTTGGCCACTGCCGAATTGGCTGGAACAGAGTTTGTTGCAGGTGAGTAATACCTCACTTAACTTTTTATAATGATCTATAATCTTTTGATTCCATTGCTGTCTCTGACTGCTTCATGCTTTTATTTTCTTAGAGAAGCTCAACATCAAATTTGTCCCACCTGAGGCCAGAGCAGGCTTATTGACAGCTGAAGAGCAAACAAGGCTGAAAAAGCTGCATGAAGACAACAAGCATTTCCTCAGAATTCCTAGACGGTAAAAACGACAGATCTCGTTTATCTTATAAAAACACTATATTGTAATTTCTGAATTTAAATTCTCTCTCCTATTTTTAAGCCCCCACTGGGACGAAGGCACAAGTGCAGATGCACTTCAGCAAACAGAGAAGGACAGCTTCTTGGAGTGGAGACGAGTGCTTGCACAGTGTGTAATATTCTGTATTTTTGCCTTTTCCTTTCAGTAGTTGGCTAATCTTTAGTGTTGTTATGTTTATTGTCTAATAAGCTGTTTGAAAAAAAAAGTTGGAATATGTTTACATCCGTAGAAGATTATTGGTGTCAGCAATATAACTGATCTTCTTTCCCCTAAAAGACTAGAAGAGGAACAGAAGTTAATTCTCACCCCATTTGAGAGAAACCTGGAGTTCTGGAGACAACTCTGGAGAGTGATTGAGAGGAGGTAAAAAAAAGATGAACTTGTACACAGCCATGAGCTTATACCCTTCTTGAATGAGTAGTGTGTTCTCTTCATGTAATACTGAAGACAAAATTGTGTTTGTGTTGTCTTGCAGTGATGTCGTCGTTCAAATTGTTGATGCCAGAAACCCTTTGCTGTTCAGATGTGTCGACCTGGTAAAGTACTTTTGGCCAAGTTGTTAAAATAGAAAAAGGAAGATGCATTCACTGTTTAAGGAGAATAGAACCAAACTAAGCCTTATTTCTGCTGTGCACCCTGCATAGGGATGCATAGCAGAAAAACTCTAGACCGGTGAATCAAACATTTGACACCTTTCTGTTGTATGCTCTCAGGAGGCGTACGTAAAGGAGGTGTCGGAGCACAAGGTCAACATGCTGTTGGTGAATAAGGCCGACCTGCTGACCAGGGAACAGAGGCGAGTGTGGGCCAGACACTTCCAGAAAGAGGGGCTGAGGGCAGTTTTCTGGTCTGCGCTGGCAGAGAGCGACCGACTGGATGCTGAGGAAAAGGTGAGTTTGAGAAGTTGCACATCACCGGTGAACTTGAATGTGTTGTGTTAATACATTTCTATCGATTTCTTGGGATCTTTTAGAACAACATTCCCTCAGCACGGGGGGGTGAATGCTTGTGAATGTGTGTTGGTCTTTTTTTTTTTTTTTTTTTTAGCAATTTCAGACTTGCTGCTGTCTTTTTAAACTCACTATCAGAGCGCAAACATTCTCTTCTTACAGGGCATGGAAGTGGAGGAACAAGACTGTGCAGAGAGTGACCCTGAAGACGAAGAACAGCCAGACAACGAAGTCCAAATAAGGCCAGCTGGAGAAGAGGAGGAGGAGGAGGAGGAGATGGAAGGTGATGAAGAGGGGCACCAGAGTGGTGCAGATGAAGAGCAGCAGGACAAGGTAACTGTTGCTGAGGAGGACTGGTTCACCTGCTCAGAAGATGACGAACATGAAGAAGACGGCGGAGCTGGTTCATCCAATAAATCCCCATTCCACAACTCAAGCAGGCTACTCCATAAGGATGAGCTGCTTGAAATGTTTAAGGCGGTTCACAGCGGGCCCAGGTGTAAAGAAGGACAGCTAACAGTGGGACTGGTGGGTGAAAAGCTGAACACAGTACAACAGACTGCAAATGGGATGCTGCAATCAAGTCGCCTCACAAGTTTTCTGATTGGCGTTTTGAATTAATTCAACAGGTTGGCTATCCTAATGTGGGGAAGAGTTCCACCATCAACACTATTCTAAGGAACAAGAAGGTGTCTGTCTCAGCCACTCCTGGACACACTAAGCACTTTCAGGTTCAGTACAACTCTTTAAAACCTCTCCATGTAAATTAAAGCATTTCATTGACGGAAAGCCGAATGTGTGATCGACTTGAATTTTCTTGACCTACAGACTCTGTATGTGGAGCCGACCCTGTGCCTCTGTGACTGCCCGGGTCTGGTCATGCCCTCCTTTGTTTCTACCAAAGCTGAGATGATCTGCTCTGGGATCCTTTCCATTGACCAGATGAGAGATCACGTACCTGCAATCTCCCACATATCCTCTATATGCTGTTTGCACAGCACCTGTAGAATCCTGCTCACACAGAACTGTTTATCTTCAACCATCTAATGCTCCCAGTGGGATCTACTTTATCCCTCGGTCACCTTGCACCAGTTGTTGAGATATTTACTGTAATGTATACATTTTGCAATTAGAAAGTTTTTTTTCACAGACATTTTTAAGAATGAATTGCATCTTGGTTAAGTCTTTAACGGATTGGCCACATATGTCAGGTGATCCCTCGACATGTCTTTGAAGGCACCTATGGCGTCAACATCATCAGACCACGAGAAGACGAAGACCCCGACAGGCTTCCCACCTCTGAGGAGCTGCTGATGGCTTATGGATGTGAGCCTACCAATTATTAATTGTGTACGAGAGAATACATTAAGAGTAGTCCAAAACATTTCCAGCTCTAAATGACAATAAGCTAAACTTTCACGTTGAGCGATAAAACGTATTCTTAAGCTTCTGTAATATAAGCTCAATCTATAGTCTTAAGTTTACTTGCTGTCTTTTTTTAAGCGTTCTGTAGTCTTCTTTTAGATCAAAGAGCAGAATGACATTTATTATTGTTTCCCTATGTTTTAGACATGAGAGGCTTTATGACATCACACGGACAGCCTGATCAATCCAGATCCTCCCGGTACATCCTGAAGGACTTTGTCTGTGTAAGTGCCACACCCGAGTTAGAACAGTTAGTTGTCACAGTACATGTTTTCGGTTTTGCCAAATTAGTTGTAGTAGCTAACATGAATAAAATGTCAGAAAACTGTCGATCCGGCACCAAAATGTGAACATAGTCTCTTAAAGTAATCATGTGAAACCTCTCGATAAGATTGTTGATATTTGAACCCAACACTCAAACAAATAATCGCTTTACTCGGCACTCTTGCTCCCACTGCCTTTCTTTAAACATTCATGGTCTTTATGGTCATTATGCTGTGCCACGGAGCTGCAACATTGTTGTGTAGTTCAGTTTCTCGCTTACAAAGCCAGGGCTGTTTATCAACACTGCACTTTTTTGAGAAATGTTATTTCACTTTTAGCACCAACTACAATTGTTACTGCTTTGTTTAAAAGAACATCAGGGATTTCTGGTCATACAGCAGCACATTGGAGTTCAATGAAATTGTTTTCTATTATTATGTGGACCCCGAACAGAACATCCTCTTCCTAACACACGCAACCTAACAATGTTGACTCCCAACAGGGAAAGCTTTTGTACTGCCATCCTCCTCCACATATCAACGCTCAGGACTTCCAGCCGCAGCACAAAAACTTCCTGAAAATGGACTCCGACTGCTGTGGCCTCTCATCCACATCGACAAACAAACCGCATAGAGTCAGGAGAATTGAAAATGTGGTCGACAAGAACTTCTTCCATCAGGTACTGTAGATGGGTGGTGTTCTTATTAGTGGGACAAAGAAATGCCTTAATGGTAGTCATTGGTTGTCATGGGATTCAAATCATTTATGTGTGAAACGAAAAGCTGAAGTATTGATGCGGTCCCAATCTTTAGGAGAACGTGCGGGCGCTCTCCAAGGGGGTTCAGTCCGTAATGGGCTACAAGCCAGGCAGCGGACCTGTCGGCCCGGGACAACGTGGTTCAGAGGCGGTGGTGGGAAAACCTTGGAAAAAACACGGCAACAGCAACAAGAAGGAGAAAGTACGACGTCTTACCAGGCACCTGGAAGCCTGACGCAGATTTGAAGTCAAAGCAAAAAGAAGGTTTTTTTCCCAGAGAAGTTAATCCTGAGTCCTGAGGTTATCTCCTGATGAGGTGCATAATCTTTGATAAAGTGCTCTGGTTAGAAGATCATATTGGTTTAATGCATTCTGTCAACTGGATCACCAGTTCAACACTAGATCTCACCAAAGTGTTGGTACATGGAGTCAACATTCAGAGAGTGAATTTGAACGGCACTTTTTTAAAGTCATTTCAGACACTGCATCACAAAGGTCAAGTCATCCGGGAAAACCACCGCTTGAATCTGCTTTTATTCATAAAACATGTGGTTATGTAACAAAGCTGAAAATAAATTGTCATGTTGCTGCATCCTTGCTTTACTCCTTTTCTACCAGGTGTCATTGATTAATGCAACACAAAACAACATTGGAAAGTAAAATAATTTGGCCAATCACACGTTCAAACAATTATTAATATCTAGGGGCATATGCATTAATGTAGAGGTCCATTACTTGATTTGTTGCTGTTTATATAACTAATGTAAAGGATGAGATTTTAAAGGTTATATGTGTAAAGTACATGAGATATTCTGATATTCTCTGACAGTCTGCCATCAACAAGTGCAACTAGTCACTTTGTGTAACCTTCTAAGTTTCTCAAGTCAATGCAATACAGTCTGTGTACATGAATTCATATATTCACATACAGAAATGTGAGACTCCGTAAAGGATGTCGTTAGCAGACAAATCGCAGCCTGGCTTGCGTAGCTTTTGACACTAGTCTAGAAAATGGGTCGACGCACGCAAGGGGCTCTTGCGTCTGCGTGTCCTTGCGTCTCTCTGAAAACGCAGAAGCATAAAACATTGTCTCACACACTGTCTCTCATACTGTTCTGTCTGTGCAGTGTTGCCGCTGCATGTCGTGCTCTTCGTAAAGTTGTTTGTCAAGGGCCCTTCGAGGGCACACGGCAGGTGGGGGACGTCGACTACGAGGTGGTGCGGTCTGACAGGGGCGGAGATACACAGATATACCACCTGAACCTCCTGAAAGCCTGGAGGGGGGTGGAGTCTGTCTCTCTGGTCTCTGCGGTATCGGAAGGAGAGGAGCTGGGGCCGGAGGTTCCAAAAGCAGGTAATCATACCTCGCTCCCTCGAGAGGCTCATCTCTCCGAGAGCCAGAGGGCGGACGTTGCCAGGTTGCAAGAGCGGTTTGCTAATGTGTTCTCTCCCTTGCCAGGCCAGACCGACCTCATAGTACACAGTATTTAGACGCCCCCGGGCGTGACAGCACAACCTTACAGGTTGCCCGAACACAAGAAAGAAGTGGTTCGGAGAGAATTGGCGAGTATGTTGGAGTTGGGGGTAATAGAAGAGTCCAACAGTGCCTGGTTGCAGCCCCATCGTCCTTGTGGCAAAGAAGGATGGATCTGTGTGGTTCTGCGTGGACTATTGCAGGGTGAATGACGTGTCACGGTTCGATGCCTACCCCGTGCCCCGGGTCGACGAGCTCCTGGACCGGCTAGGCACTGCACGTTTCTTCACGACACTGGATTTAACCAAGGACTACTGGCAGATTCCTCTGTCGCCAGAGTCCAAGGAGAAAACGGCATTCTCCACCCCGTACGGTTTGTACCAATTTACCACACTTCCCTTCGGGTTGTTTGGGGCCCCGGCCACGTTTCAGCGCCTCATGGATCGGGTGCTGCGTCCGCACGCTGCATATGCCGCCGCCTACCTCGACGATGTCATTGTCCACAGCACCACCTGGGAGGAGCATGTGCGGCAGGTGGGCGCAGTGCTGGAGGCGCGGGCGGGGCTCACCGCCAACCCGGGGAAGTGTGCAGTTGGACGGTGAGAGGTACGGTATTTGGGGTACCACTTGGGGAGCGGGCAGGTGCGCCCTTAGGTGGACAAGACTGCAGCCATCGCGGCCTGCCCGCGGCCCAAGACAAAAAAAGAGGTGAGGCGGTTCTTGGGGCTGGCGGGGTATTACAGGCGGTTCATCCCCGGCTTCGCGGACCTCACCAGCCACTTGACCGACCTCACACGAAAAGGTGCGTCAGATCCGGGTCCAGTGGTCGGAGCAGTGCCAGCAGGCGTTTGAGAAGGTAAAACAGACTCTCTGTGGGGAACCACTCCTCCATACTCCTAACTTCTCTCTCCCCTTTATTCTGCAGACCGACGCGTCAAACAGGGGGCTGGGGGCCGTTTTGTCCCAGGAGGTGGGGGGGGGTGGACCGCCCCGTAGTGTACATCAGCCGGAAGCTGTCCGAGAGGGAGGCCCGGTACAGCATGGTGGAAAAGGAGTGCCTGGCCATCCGGTGGGCGGTGGACTCCCTGCGCTACTACCTCCTGGGACGCTCTTTCACCCTCTGTTCGGACCACGCCCCGCTCCAATGGCTCCACCGCATGAAAGATGCCAACGCCCGGATCACTCGGCGGTATCTGGCCCTACACCCTTTTAATTTCAAGGTGGTCCATAGGCCGGGGGCGCAGATGACTGTGGCTGATTTCCTCTCCCGCTCCTGAAGGGGGGGCAGGGGGGAGAGTAGGCTAGGACGGACGGCTCCCCGGCCTAAGTTGGGCGGTGGGGATATGTGGTGGCGGGCGTGGTTTGGCTCGGCTGCAGATGGGACAGAGAAGGGAGTGGCTCAGGGATTGGTGCCAGGTGGAGGCAATTGGCTGAGATGTAAAAGATTCCTCATTCCTCAGCCGCTGTGCTACTTTCCAGTCCACGAAGTTGGAAAAGAACACTTACTGGATGGGGCACAGGGAATAAAATATACCCATTGAATGAGGAGTCTGGTCCTGAAATGCCAAAAAGTTATATGGGGGGGGGGCGCGGGGAAATTTTACCCCATTAAAGAAAAAAAAAGAAGCAAATCGCTCCCCCCATTTTCCCCCATTAAAACAAAAAGAGAAATAAAGACATCTAATTAAACTAATGAATATAAAACCATAAAACCAAATATAAAGAATAAATAAAAAGATAATATTTTAATATACAAAGTCACAAATGCGAGAAACCAATATATAAACTAATTACAACATGAAGATTACAAACAATTGGACTTAAAATGCTAGATGGAACTATTATTTCTCTTCTTTCCTCCTTTCAGCCTCACATCTCTGTTTTTCTTTCTCAAAGAAAGGACACCCCTGGAGCTCTCTCCGCGTCATTTCCTTGTCCATGCCCTGATCTTTGTATAGTGAAAAGATGCAGAAAATGTACTTCCCTGTTACTCCAGGGAACCCAGTGTGAATGTGACGACTGTTTGGGCCCTGCTTCAGTTACATCTTACAGAACCGACACTTGCGACCTGTGGACTGGCAATCAGTTCTCTTCCTCTTCTGCTGTCCTTTCTCTGCCTCCCTTTTCTGTGTGGCATCCAGTTCTAGCTGAAAGAACTTTGTCTTTCGTGTGTCCCTTCTTTTGCCCCGGTTGTTGTTGTTCCTGTTGCGGTTTATGTTGCTGCTGCTGCTTTTCCATGATGTAGAGTACAATCTTCTCAATAGAGGCTTCAGTCAGCATCTGAACAGGTGGAGGTGGGTGAACAATTGCAACAGACATCGTAACAACTGGCACACTAGTGGTCTCACTCGCCTCTGTCAGAGAGTGACAGAGTTTCTGCCTCTCTTGCAGTTTTTCTGGACTGACGTTTAAAGAGGAACTGGTGTTCACCAATTTGCTGAGGTGCTTTACATATTGTAGAATATGTAGTTTTCTGCTTACGGTGTTTGTTGAGCAGCTGGTCGATAACTGCCAGCGACGGCGGACGTGGGGTTTCTACAGGAACAAAAGACGGAGTACAATAAGTCATTCTGACCTATAGAATCAAATACTTATAAATATAAACTTTCATTAAAAGCTCATGAAAGACTGGTATTTGTATGTAAATATTTATTCAATAACACCCTAAATATATTTTCACATGTAAAAAAAATGGAAAAGTGACACAAATGTATTACGCTATCCATAAAAATAAAGTTAGCTAGCGCTGATATTGTCAATCACTATGTCCGTGTGTGAGATGTTTACCTGGCTCTCCCCGAGGCCCTGGGGCTCACATCTGGTTTCACAGCAGAATCGGCAGGGGGGCATGGAGAAAACTGGAACAACCTTGATGGCGGCAGTGAGGATGACAGAGGAACCTCCGACTGGGTAGCGAGTGGATCACTTTGAGGAGGTGGATTCGGGGCCTGGGTGTGATCTGTCTTGCTGTTGTGCTTGTCCCAGTCCAGAGGAACTGAGCACAGGAACTGTACAGGGCGTGATGCTCCGACACACACTCACGGAGGAACCGCCTCATGCAGTGAAACAAGTCCAGCTTGATATTAATGTTTGCATTAAAATGTGATCTTGAAGCACATGGGTTTCGGAGGTTATCAGAAGTCACATCGGCAACAATCGCATCTGTTGTTCTCCAAGAATCCCATTTCAGATGCTCTCCTGCAAACGACTCTGCCCAGCACAGCAATGCACAGCAATCCCTGAAAGAAAAAATAAAAGGAAAGCCATCAATGTCAGCAGTCTATATGTGTAATAATATGTGTGCTCCAGTGTATATGGCCATCAACATAAAATTGAACGCAAAGGGCTTTTCTTTAATTAAACTGAAAAAAAATGAAAAGTAATCGAAGTTGTGACTATGAGCTGTTTGTGTCACCAATGATGGTCAAAAATATCATGTTTAAACGATGAACAGCTAGTGAGAATCTGTGTTAAATGACGTACAGCAGCAAACGCTGCATATTTATCTGAATAATTATTACACATTATACGTCATGGCTTACTGTTTAGTGACTTCCTCACAGCGCGAGATCCGACGAAGGTGCACCGTCGCTTCGGTCCTCTTTCCCGGGTAGACTGACGGAGAATGTCCGGAGAAACGCTCGGTCCGCACAACAGCGCCACCGGTGGCCAAAGATATATTACATCCGTAGTGGTTTAGCACTACCATAGCGAATGAATGGGTTTTGTTTTAGGAATTAAAAGGGGAGGCTAGAAAATGGGTCAACGCACGCAAGCACGCAAGGAGGTGTGAAAAGGGACACGCAAGGGACACGCACGGGTCTCTTGCGTCTGCGTCGCTCTGAAAACGCAGAAGCACAAACTAGGCTTTAGCTCCGCCCCACACTGCAGGTGCCATCATGCCGTTGAGTGTCTTGACAGCTGCGTGGCTGCACAGGTGCTGCATGGATTAGTTTATTCTAGCACAACCAAATGTAAGCCTCCTTGAAATGGACACAAGGGGACGTAGGTTGACCCTGGAGGGTCCGCCCAGAGGGAATCCCCTCACCTTTCCCTTCGGTTTGGCTGAATTTTGCGTTGATGCCGTCACCACCTGTTTCTCTCAGAACTCAGAGAAACGCTGCATCCCCATCGGCCTCAGCTTTCTATCCATGCTGGTTTTGCTGCTGTCATGCTTTCTGTAAGTCTTGATCCAGCAGTAGTTATATTCTTTTTCTTCATCGATTCCAACAATAAACCAGCGTTAACTCCTTTCAGCTTCGTGTATCAGAGGTGCACATTTCGAGGAGAAGCCTCAGGAGGAACCATCTCCCTCTACGGCTTCCTCGGTGACCTGTGCAGCACCATAGGAGCTATTCTGTCCAGACAGCTGCATATTCAGGTAACCTAGCTTTAATTTCGGCACTTTGAATGAATCAAATTGTAATAACTCATCACTGCTTCCTGCTCTGTAGGTTTTGATGGGTGCTTTTGCTGCTACTGTAGATGCTGTCAATTGTATTTCTAGCTGCTCTCATGTGCTCCTGCACTGGAACTCGAGAGAAGGTACGTATAGAGAAATGCCATAACTCCATGATAACCCAAACCACATCGTTCTCATTCTACAAACCGTCCCTTGTTCAAACAAAGTGGAGCAGGTGTTTTTAGTAGTTGCGTCCAACTGCTCTATCCCTTTAGGCAAAATAGTGAGGGAACGTATCGGACGCTCTATAGATAACCAAACTCACGAGGTGTGCGTGTGTGTGTCCGTTCGTTTGTTCTCCATCTCAGGCAGGAGGCTGAGGATGATGAAAGGGCGGAGGAGGCAGCACCTCCTCGCTGTGTGTGTACTGATGGTTGTTGCAAGAGGCTTTTGGAAATCCAGAGCGTCTCACCTCCCAGCAGTAAGGCCTCCCTTAGACAGGAGGAGACTGCTGTTTGCCACCCTCCAGGTAAGCACACAGCCCTCTTTAGCCGGCCGTAGTCCTTTTTTTTTTAATGGTGTGACTTGTATTTATATAGACAAATGCATTTATATGTCATGTGTAGTGAATGGTGGAAACGTACACGTTTATATATTTTACAGCATCTTCAATTCTCGCTGTTTGGTTCGGGGTTCATGTTCTTCAACACTGCCTATTTAGACTTCTCCCCCCCCCCCTGTATTGTATCATACATTATAACCACTTTAAACCGTTCTCGTGACAGGACAACACTGAAGTCCTGGGTTACGTACTTGGCCTCCTCTCCTGTGTCATCGCATGCACCTCCAGGTTCCCTGCTCTCTGCAGAGCAGTAAGTAACACAGTGCTGCTTTTCCAAAACAGTTACCGGGGTTGACGTGCTTCCATTCCATGTTTTCTCCTTTTCAGTACAGAGGACTAGTGTTGACCCGGGCCAACATGTTCTCCAGACTGCTGTGCTCGCTGTCCGGTGCCCTCTATGCTGCTGCCGTACTGCTCTGTGACACTCGGGTTGGGTTTCTTCTGAGAGTCATGCCGTGGCTGCTGTCGGCAACCGGCTGTGTCACCATTGACCTTCTCGTATCCTTTTATGGCCAAAAAAAGTGACCGCATTCCACAGAAGGAGAAAGAGCAGATCAAGAAAAAGCCCAAAAGTCATCGTTAGAGGGCGCGAGACGAGAACTTCACGACACTGCCTGCAATGTTGGTCCTCTGGGAAATAACCGCTCCGAAAGACCAATGTCGCACAAATTGCTTCAATTATGTCCTGACTGGCTTGAATGTGTGTGGAATTGTACGGACTTTCAGCCAGATGTCGACCTTCAATCCAACGTCTTCAGATTCTTGTCGTCCACTGTTGGAGGAGAGGAACTACGCAGAAGCTTACAAGTGTGTCTCCAGACAAAGAGAGCCTCTTAAGTAGCTCCTGCGCCCTCACCGAAGATAACGCTGTCATGAAGAGACCAGGAAAACAGCAACAGCAACTTCATTCTTCAGCAGGGACTAAAGTAGGATTTGATAGTTGATTTTCTTTCTACAGGACTCATTATCTCAACAAACTTTCAGAGTAAATAAAGAACCAAACGTTTATATGTAACATTGACATTATTGGAAGATTACCTAATGTGTCATTTCACTAATTGAGTTGTCTGGTTGAGTCACTCAAACAGTTTTGCAGGCATTCTGCTGAAAAGATTTGGGTAATTTTCATGAAATGAATGCTAATGATGTTTTGGTTCGATCCTAATTATATTCAATCTCTCCTTCAAAAGACAAATGTCCTGAAGTTGACAGAGATGGGTGGTTATATGGATGTCGATGTCGACGCCGCAGGAGAAGTAAGCGAAAGGTCTACGCTCCGTTTCTTCAGCTCAATCCGTGGTCGTACTGGCAGCTAAACATGTGCATTGTTTTGGTTTTACAGATGTGTCTTAAGGAGGGGGTGGAGGCCCGGTGCCTCAGCCAGACAGTGCGCGTCATCAGAGTGGACAGTTTCTGCTCCTCGGACACGTCTTGTGACTCTTCTCTAGTCGACTCTGACCTGGAGGTGGGTTGGAGCCCTGTTTAGCCCTGTTGGTGAGCAGTATGATCTTTTCTTACAAACTTTGAGCAAGTTAAACAATCACTCAATGCAAAATATTTACTCTGATAATGTAGTCTGCTACACATTTCCCCCTTAACTGTTCTTCTGATTTAATGTTTCGCAAGTAATAACCTTGACTCAGTATTTCAACCTTGATTTTTTTTAATTTATTTTTTATGTCGATCAGCGGCGTAACAATATATTTTTTTTCCTGCCATCTAAACAAAGTCTACAATGTGCACTGTTGCATGGCTTGTCGGTCTTGCAGTGAACGATTAAGGCCCTCCAGTAAATACAGCGATGTGTAGTTCCCATGGTGACCACTAGGTGGTGACACCCTGTTAACAGAATGTGTTTCATGAATGAATATGACTGAGTGTAACTGCTTGACTCACACTTTAACTCTGTGGTGAACTCTGTGAGTGTGTGTGTTTTATATTTGTATTATAACTCACCTATTTATGAATGGGCTGCTTCTGTTTAATTAGAGGACTCGAATGCCCAGCATATACATTTGTAGAAGATTATGACCATGAGGAAGTGGTGAAGAGACGTCAGCAGTTTGATCTGCTGAAATTCCGGCTTTTCACATGTGACCCCGAGGGAAGTTAGTCAGACGGTCGTCGGCGGTTCTTGTAATAATGAGTCACTCTATAAAGAACCCGTGTGTGGACGATATTTGTGTGCTAAAGTGTACGGAGAGAAGGATCGTGAGAAGCGGTTCTTTTCGTGGCTTCATTCTGCAGTGTACAATTGTGCTCAGAATTTAATATCAGCTCCACGGCAAAAAAACAATCTTGTCTTTGAGGGCAGTTTACATTTATATAAATTCCCCTCTTTAAAAAAAACAACAACAACATACTTTGAGTTTATAGGGAGAGTGAAATCACAAGCTGTTCCTTATCAGGCGCTCCCAGCCACAAGAGAAACTTCCTTAATGTTCTCAAGCTCTGGAGGATGTTCCCTTTTTATCTAAGAAACGCAGGCAAATGGTGTGAGCACAAACTGTTGCAGCTTGACACCTTTAAACCGGAATTAAGCTAATTACCAGAATGCCCTTATTTTAATTTGTTAAATATAAAAGTAAGAAGCCTCAAAGTGTTCAAAATGTACCACCCGTGCAAGTTTTACAGGAATGCAACTTTATCTCGCTGTGTGAATTCTCCTCCTCCACAACTTAATCCAACCTCAACTCTCATTGGTTGGAGACGGTTTGTTTGCGCTGAGCCCTGGAGGTTACATATTTTCTGTTTTAGCAAGAGCACTGATTAGTCTTTGAGTCTTCTAAAACCAAATGTAAACACTCCTGATAATGACTCATCTTTTGCGATTCGGTTGCTAGTCTGAACTCTGTCTAATACATGCAAAGACAACAGCATTCATAGTTTTGTCCCTCCCTGCGTTGCCCTTTCCCCCCGATGCTGTTAGAATTAACAGAAACTTGGTGATTCAATAGTAAGATGGCTTAACTCTGAGTAATGTTTCATCTGAACTTCACCAATCTGGTCATTGAGAACTGTTACTTTTTATCTGATTGCGAAGCCTTTGCATCTCATTGAACGCAGAGATCACCCACCTGTGAAATGTTCCAAAGCTAGTGGGAGATGAGCGCTAGGGAACGGTCTACTCGATCTACATACAACACTAATTTAAATGTCTGCTTTCCATACCGCCATAATTTGCTGATCCTGATAAAACCGCACAACGTTTTGTGCTGCATACGCTGGGCTGTCAATGTAGCCTGCTGCTTGAATTGTCTTCTGTTGTGTTTCTTGCACATTTCTGCTGAGCGCCGGGTCTTTACAGGGAGAGGGGTGGGTGTGTATGTATTGAGGGGCAGTTGGGTTGGGATTGTTTGAGATTTGCTTTGTGGCCTAATTGTTCTCCTGTAGAGGATATTTGATTAAAGACCAGCACTGGGCAGGGCCTGTCTACCTAGGAAGTAGTGCAAAATGCTTTCCTTGTCTATAAGGGGCCAGTGTTACCCTCTGCTATTTTGGGTGACGTTTATGGTCCGTTGTGTGATGGCTGCTGGCCAGGACTTTGCTCTGCGTGTGAGCAGGTCTTGAGCATTTTGCATTCTTGACATTTAGCGGAGTCTGATGCACGAGTAAGAACATACGGCATGAACTATTTCATTTCAGGTCAACAAATCTGGTTTTCTAAGAAAAGAAAAGAAAAAGGTACTTGATGAAGGGCGTTTACATCTGATATAGAGACACTTCGAGGGACCACTTTAACAGATGGTCAATTCCCCTGAATCATAACCATATTGTGTACAGGGATGGTTAGTTAATGGTTAGATTCTACACGATCATATGTTTTTTATTCTGCTATGTAATATCTTAACTTTTCCATATTCCCAGTGGGATTGTGAGGCTTGACAACAGGACGTAGAGAACCTTTCACCAAAAGAATGGCCAGCAAACTCCAAACTGAACATCTGCACTACTGAACATCTGCACCTGCGCGGCCCTGCAAGATGGGGGGAAAAAAAGTCAAACCAACTAATGTAAATCTGCATTAGTAAAGTGATCTGGTGCATTCATTTCAGGGGAAATAAAAAGTGTCAACAGCAAAACTTTATTTGTCTTGTTTTACTTAACAGTGTGCGTGGTGCCCTGCATCTTTCTCATCACCTCACCAGGCTGTTCAGGCCTGTTCAGAAGATCATTTTGGCGGGCGATGTTAAATATTCTTGCCATGTGCAGCTTTGTCCTTCAAGTAACGACATCAAAGATTTCAATTAAACATCTATTAAGTCATTATCTACTGCAGAAGTAGCTAATATTATACTGATAGCGCCTATGCCTCACTAACGCCTCCAATTACTGCTCATTCGAATAAGGGCCTCCGAGGACAAAACGGAGCTCTTTATTCTACTGCTGTAATTTACAGGCTGTTTTGCAGTGAATGAAGACTACAGAGGTTGTCAACTCTCCATCAAAACCCCTGAGGTCTGTTTTACTGAAAAGGCCTCCCCCTAATAAAAGAGAATTGCGACCCCGCTGCCTTCAAAGGTTCTTTGGTCACATCCTGTATTTTGCTGGTCGACTTGGGTTATCAGGGCTGGACTGGAAAAAAGCCCCGCAGGGCAGATAAAGCACCGGACTAGACGGCCAGGGCGCCTCCGTCCTCTCCATCGTCCGTCAGACCTCGTGTCCATCGGCTTGCTCGGGGGCTTTGGACCAGGATGATGGAGCAACGGAGCAGGGCATTTTTAACTGAAGGGACTTCCTAGAACCTGATAACGGAACAATACACAGATTAGAGCAATGGTATGGAGAACGTTTTACTCCGCCCAGTTACATTTCCTCGAGTCAGTGTCCCTCTGAGACAAATCACTGGGAAACTGCTAATGAAGTGTGGCAAAGCAATTGCTGATATCTGCAGTGTAAATGTTGTGTAAACATGACATGACAGGCCGGTTTGGAAGATGATTAAACTATATTGTTTATTGATTATAACCAACATCATACGGAGATGATTGTATGTTGTTGTTCGACTAGTATGTCAACCGACAATGAAAAGCCATGCGGTGCTTGCTGCTGCTCTAATGTTGTTGTTAGATTGGAATCTATCCCATGTTTACAGCTTAGTGGAGAGGCACACTGTGATGCTGAGTGAGATCAGTCATTACACAAATAGTGGCTGTTTAACTAAGTTCAAATTGCATAACAGGCCTTCTCAAATTTGCTGAAGATTTATTGTTTTAATAGATTCATACATTTGATTTACTACAACTGAAAAGTTCTGTAGAAAATCAACCTAAACCCCAGTTGCTGTTTTTCCATTTGTATTTCCAAAGACGTTCAATAAATTAAAGAAGAACATGAAGTGTTTTGTACTCTGTGGAAGCTGTCTGATGTGAAAAGTGCTGAGTTAGCACTGCTCCATCTCTGGGCCTCATCTCTGTGCCTTCTGAGAGTGGGTCCAATGGAAAACAAACTGTCCCGTATAGAAAGGTGGAATTCTGTTTGCAAAAGTGATGAAGAGCATGGATTAGCACATCTGAAGCAGCAGTGGGGAGAGGGCCTTTTTGTTTTTCTTGGCCCGTGCGTCAGTGAACGCTCCAACGCAGCGGACATGGAAGATGCTGGATGATTTGAGCCCTCAGGCCCTTTTGTTCACCTTGCAGGGGAAGGGGATGGGGATGGAGGGGGGGTTGTTCAGGAGTAAGCCAAAATTCCATTATTGCAGTGAATAAATAAATAAGAAAAATGCATGCTGAGTAATGAGAACCCAATCCTTACCAAATAACTCAGAATAAAGGATTATATGTTAGTGAATTTATTGAGAACTTTGTTTAAAACGGGACTCCCTGCCCCCCACAGTCCTTTGGATGAATCTGTGCACATTTTCAATGACAGGGTGAATTTTTTTTATACTATTGACAAAAATGCTAAGATTCAGTCTTGGGTGATTAACAAAAATAACTAACATTCAGTGAACGTGCTGTCTTTCGGGAAGTCGCCTGCTTTGACCCTTGGTGAAACATTGTCAATAATGACAACTTTCTTAAGAAATTGTCAATGAAATATGAATTAACCAATACAAAAATCAATATCTAACACTATTTCTTGTCCCTGCACCACAATGCTCTGTTCATGCCTAACAATGCATCCTCAGCTCATTGTTGCCCTGCCAGCATCTGGCTTCTATGTAGTACCTCCAATCTGTGACTCACGGTCCGTTTAATGAACCTCCGCTTCGTTTAGTCAGGTTACTTCGGGGTGATTGGCGCGCTCTTCACCTTGCGTAGTCCCCCCCTCCCCGCCCGTGACGTCACCACGTGTCACTTCCGGCCGCCAGACAGCCAGTTCGGGCCAGTTCACTACCGCCGTGTGGAACTCCCGTCCGTCCCTCCGAGCTGTCAACACAGCGCGACCCGGCCACACCGCCTCTCCGCTGCGACAACATTCTCCCTCCCGACATCAGTCGCCTTTTCTCTTCAACGACGTTTTTCTTCAGATAACAGCCCCCCTCCCCGTCTCACTATGACTCGGAGCTGATCTTCAGAGTGTCCAGGTGGTTCTGGGTGAGTGTTTTTTTTTTACCGTACCCGCTGTCATCCTCACCCCATGTGTCCGTGGCACGAAGCTAACGGTAGCTAGACGATAGGTGTCGGAGTAAAACCGGTCCGGGCTGTTGTTGCTGGTGTTTTTTTTTCCGCTCCGACGGTTTCTGAAACCGATAGCGGGATTCGGCACCGGAGGACACGCGCACGTTGCCGCTACGGTAGTCACCGGGTAGCGGGCTAACAATGGATCGTGGCTAATGTTAGCGGGCTAGCCAACATGCAAGAAGCACTTCCTGAGGCTCGCCGGCATGGCTCGTTGTCACAAACTAGGTATTTATAGCCAGGGAGCGTAATCCGGGATGTTGGTAATATTAGCCAGTGACGTGATAAAACCCTAACGTGGATTCTGCTGCAACGTGGACCTGGAACAGTCGAGTTGTCCTTAGTCCCTAATTGGCTTAAGGCTGAATTATGTGTGAGGTACTCCAATTATAGTAGTAGTAACGTCATCATCACAATAGAGGATATTCATAAATGTGTATGTATGCTTTGCCTATATTCAACACCTGGTCTTGTGTACTAGTCACGCAAATCATTTGAAATGCCTTAAACGAAAACGATGCCTATATGGATGATATCCATGCGTTACTGTTGGCATATTACATCATTGTTGATGTTTTGTTGTTAACTCGTATATAGCTGGACATTCTCTTGACAGGACATTGAAGTGAAAACAGTGTTGTGTTTATCAGCCAAAACTCACAAGTGTATTGATGACACGCCAGATCAGAAAGAGATTGGGCCTTAAATAGACAACGCTAATCAATTTAACAATGTCCTCATCCAGGTCAAGTTTATTCGTGACATTCCAGGACAAATGTCGGTTGTCACTTTTATGTTTATATTTACACAGACCGTCCACAGCCACAGTCAGGCTGAGGAGATGATACGTTTGCGTGCATTTATTGAAGATGTGACCTTTGAGGTGAGACGACTGATGTCCACATGTAGCAAGTAAACTGCCGAGTCCCCAAATCCTCACATTGCACATTGTGTTAAAGCACTGAGCAGACCATTTGTTCTTCAATTATTGCAAAGCTGCAATTACGTGTCTCTGACCAAACTAACTCGGGGAATAGAAGTAGAGTTAAGTTTATTAAGAGATCAGCCATCCTGGATCAGCTAATTTAAAATAAATGTCTGTGCTTTGTGCTTTGGCTTAGTTGTATGAATAGTTTAGAAATGATGACAAGGGCAAGATACGGGATCTTAATTGATAAACTCTTTCATACCATCGTTTTGGGGGGGATGCTTTACAAAAAACGAGTGTAAAACATGGAAAGAAACCCAATTCCTTATCTTTCCATATAAATCCAAAAAAAAAAAAAAATGTACACAATTCGATCTAGCACATCCTGATTTCTGCAATCATGGAGTGGAACTGTCCCTTTTCACCTTCAAATTCTTGCGTTGCCCCCAAATATTTGATCTTTTAATCCCTTCAAATTTGCCGGCTGTCCTCTCACAAGGACGCCTAGACCGAATCCCGGAGGATGTCAGCCGTCGGTTGTCAGGTGGCGCTGGGAGACGTGTAGCGGACCATCAGGAGATGTTGTGGTGTGTCACGCGTGGTTCAGTGACACAAGGCTTTAGCCAAGAGCTCTTGGTAACTCCCTCCATAAAATGTTACTCGTGAGGACCACAGTCGTGAAGCAGCTCATCAGCCATTTCGTCAGTCTTTTCTCAGACCCGAGTAAGCCGTTGAAAAAAGAGAAGAAGAAAAAAGAGGTGACAAACCCACAGTTGGCACCACTAATCCGTCTGTCATCACAACCGCGACAAAGAAACCCGCTTGTTGCATCCTGAGACTGACGGTGAATCACTTTGCAGTAGGGGGAACTGTATGACATGTTGTGCAGGTAAAGCTCCTCCTGCAAAACGGACCGCTGTGCAAACAAATGAAGCTCAAACGCATGAATAACAAAAACAGGCAATATTTTGAAAATAACTGAAATAACCTTTGCTCTGCTATTAACTTGCAGCTTGACATCCCTGTGCTGTGCCCCCTTTGTGACTGCATCGCAATTGTGTGAAGGTTTGGCAACTTAAATATATTCTAGTAATAGGAATGTATTTGAGACAGTGAGGATGTCATTTGTCATATTTAAGATTGTAATGGACCTCATCTGATTTACTTCTTTCACATTGGTTAAGAGATGACATTTTGCCCATGAATGAAGGAAACTAATTCAATAATTTGTTACATCCAGATAGAATTATTTCTCACCAAGCGTAATTATGTAAGCTGCTCAATGAAGTGAAACTTGTTTTAATCTCTTGCCCATTGTTCCACACACTTTTTCATAAAACTGTTCTGCAATGCCCCTGTTAATCCAAGAGCATGTGGCTCGACTTAAAATTCATACACACTTTTGATCTGTGCGATTCTTTTTCTTTTCCCAGCTCTTTCTGTCCATGTTTTTTCATAGCAGTGTAGCTCTCATACAGGATCTTCTTTTTCTTTATTGAAGCCTGGAATGTCTAAAAACACACAGTCAAAGTTTCATCTGAGGCTGACGCGGGACTGATCGTTTACTCCATCTGTTTTACGAGCTGATGGAAGTTCAACAAGCAATAAACCGTTCATTTTAAAACTAATCCACTACTAACTATTAAACTAGGATTGGCTGTGCACTTGTTGCACTACTACGTCGACTGTTTGCATTTGAGTAAAATAAGATGTTATGAATACTCATGTTTTCTCCTTCTGGCGAGTGGTTCAGAGGAAATTGTCCAATTAATTAAGTCATCAGTGGTGGTGGACTGTTCACACAGCAGGGGGAATGCAGACCGTCATAGATTTTTTTTTTTAGTAAGGCCAACGGTCACAGTGATAAACAGCTTGATTGGCCCTTGACGGGGGAACAAAGCTTGGCTGTAATGCCCCATTCGAAGGAGGGGAAGTGATAAAGAAAGCACATTGAGTGCAGAGCGCGACGGCAACAAAACCCTTTTCCCTCCGAATGCTTCCATGAATTATGGACCTCTGTCATTAGGTCATTGGTCATTGTTTGCCCTTTCCTTTCTGTCTGTGTTTGGAAGCACAGGACAGACAGGGAAAGGAGAAAATGTCTAGTGTGCGCTGTCCTGGATTGATTTATTTGTATACGTTTGCTCATGTTTTTGAGACGCTACTCTCTGTCTCACCCCAAAATGAACTTTGTTCTGATTTTATATTTAGAAAATTACGATATAGAGCGTTTCAGGTTGACATACATTGATCCAGTTAGCTCTTTAAAACTTCAGTCAGTGACTAAATGAATTAATAATCAGTCATTTTTGAAGTGGCATCTTTAAATATATTCTGGAGTCAGCTTCTCATATGCATGAATTCGATGCCTCTTCTTGTCTCGTACACAATGAACAAAATTTATTTTGCCCGTCAACTGTTCAGACAATTTAAAAACAAAAAACTTGCTGAGCTTTTTTTTGGAATGTTTTATTCAAATTCATGAACCAAATGATTTACTGATTAATTGATGAAATCCTCAGATTAGACACCAAATAAGATTTCAGCTGTTGCTCCGTTCCCGTTGTTGTTCAGTCATCGCCTAAGGTCCGTTTTCGATAACGAATGTAATCCTGATAGTAAGCTCACCAGACAGCTCACAGTACAGTGAAATAGTTTAATCATTAATAGAGATGATTACCTCATACAGGCGATCGATATGCTTGATCATAGAACAAGATCTGGTTTGGTATTCAAATAGCCGCTCACGTTTCCACCCCTGTTGTGCTTTTGTACATGTGCTGCTTACTGACGTTTTCCAGATTCTTTCCACAAAGAAATTCCAAAAGAAATGGCTAAAATGAAAAAGAAAAGTCTCACCGGCAGCAGACACACAATCATTAACCGACGAGGTTACCTACCTGCAATGATGAACCGGTTAAACTTCTTTTCTATCTCGCTAGCTGCAGTGTGTCCGCGAAACAGGCAACCGGCCCCCATTCACCCGCACGCCAAAGTTAGCGATAGCTGCCAAGAAGTAGCGTGCATCGCCACGGCAACGAGCCGCCACTTGCCCAGTAGGTTAGCTCAGCTTTGAGGTTGCCAGCCGTGTGTCAGCCGAATGCTCAGCTGAGAGAGCGAGAGAGAGAGCGCCGAGACTTGTTTTAACTGCACGCGGCTGACTGTTAAAATGCCACCATTATTGAAAATATCGTCGGTAAAGGACTGTTAAAAAATGCTTTTAATAAATGAAAATGTTTTTTTTCAGCATCGCCTGCCGTGACCGTTCAACATCGTAGCTCCGTGTCCCATCCATGTTAGACCTAAAGTTACTCTCAGGCTCAATCAGGTGGGACTGACCTTTTTAAGGTGCACCAGTAACCTGTTCCTCACAATTTTGCTCAGCTTACTTTTATATATTTCACATTTTCTGAATTGTTATTGTCGGTTTAAAGTGGTAGATTACTAAACTCACTAACACCGATGATCTTTCTTCTAACTACAATACTAAACATGACGGTCAACAGCTGCCTTGTGTTTTATTTTCCCAAGCCCGCATTTCTTATTAACACAATAGCATGTGATCAAATGAGAGACAACAATGTGGCTGTAGGCAGGGCTTGAGAAATCTATAAATATCTCTGAAGTCATGCTGACTCTTAGAGGCCCTACAAGGGTCGTCTGTTGTGTTTTTCTCCTCGCCCTCATATTGATCACATTGTGTCATTGTGACAGGAGCCCCAAGCCTCGTGCGTAGATGGGAGTCAGAAAACAGTTTGTCCTGCATCCACGTGAGCATCATGATTAGCAGCTCTCTGCATGCATTGCTTAATAACACCTATGTTCTCTGGTCACTGTGGGAGGTAATTGCTGGGAATGAAGCATCAAATGAACAAGGTCTGAGCGGGATGGGATTAGTAACGACATAGGTGGGAATGACAAGGAGTACCAATGATTCATAGAGGATGGCACAACCTGTCACTCGCACTCAACTCACACAGTCTGGTCAGGTAGTCCACAATACCCTGTGGAAACGTGGGTTTTACTGAGCACTGGTCATTGTTTTGACAACATTTTTAACTGCAGAAACAATAACCGAATAAAGTAAAAAAAAGTTCAGTTCTTGATCCGAAAAGTCCAGGACTGGATAAGTGCACTCGTGATTAGTATGTGCTCTCCAGTGTGCACGGCTGAAGACCTTGACATGTGCTTTCACATAACCTAGTTACTCTTCTGCGGCAGCGCAACACACATTAACTGCGCTTGTCTTTCCGTTCTGGTGATATGTTACTGTTTTGTGAAAGCCTCTCATCCCTGTTTTTCATCACTGTCAATTTAGTGAAAAATAACGGAAGGTTTTGGAAAGCTGTGTTTATAATTCTCGTTGTATCTTTCATTTTCAGTCTCTGCGTGGAGAATCTTGCGTGTGAGTGATTTTGTGAGCGGGGCGCAGGTGACAACATTGATGAGTGCAAAAAGTTGTAATAAACCATAGGAAATACGTGTCTAAAACAGTTTTTCTTGTTTACCGCTAACTGCTCACAGAGCCGACTGCACCATTCCCCCCCCAGCCACTGCTCCCCGGCCCTTTTATTGGACTTTTACATTACATTACATTTAGCAGACGCTTTTATCCAAAGCGACTTACATTACACTTTAAACCCATGGCTTCTTCACATTTTTGCCCAGGGAGCAATTAGGGGTTAGGTGTCTTGCTCAGGGACACTTCGACATGGAACATGGGGCAGCCTGGAATCGAACCACCAACCTTGTGCTTCCCAGCACACCTTCTCTAACCCCTGCGCCACGACGACCCGACGACTTCAGCCTTGTTTACACTTGTACAGTAAAACATCTTTACTGAGACACCTGAAATAAACATTCGCGGTTCCCTCCGGTGAGGCGAGTCCGAGGTGCATCTTTGCACAGAGCCTGTGCAGACGTCTGTTAAAATGAGAGTTGAGGTGAAAACGACCGGGAGGAGATTAGCCAATTGTCGGCTGTGTTAATTTGAAACCCGAGTGCGCCTCTCTAATTGGTGTTTGTTTTTTCTCCCAGGGTTCCAGGTTGGTGTGGTGAGAGAGCAAACTAACTGTGGGAAGGAGGACTGCCTGGGGCGTCGTGTCCCTGGCTCGCGAGGTAGGAGCACACGAACCATCAGCACACCGTTTATCCGTTTAATGCCGTTGCCGCAATTGTGAATGAACCCTATAAAATGAATTGCGCGCATTGTTTGAATTGGCGTGTGGAACAGATCCAACGCGACTAGGATTTCTTACTTTAGGGGATATTTTTATTTCATACATACTTATTTTGAATGCAAATGACGCCTCTTTGGCTTTGTGACAGTTCCCTCGAATGAAAGTTTAACTGAACTTCTCTCCGGGGGAGTTAACATGTAACATATTGGCAGCCATTCCCTTGTCTGGGTTAATATGTGTTGCTTCTGAGAAGTGTGTTTTCTGTTCTTGTTGAAAAATGATTGCTACATACTTGACTATGTAACACGCTTCCGATTTCATCCTCACTGACCGGCAGAGCAGTGCTGAACACCGGCCTGGCAGCCATCCAGGTTCACAACCGTTACATCAGTACCCAC